GGTTACAAATGTAGATTTAATTTAGCCAATGAATGTAGGTTTTAGTTCATTTTAACTTTTTAATTTTTTTTTAACCACCTGTTTTCTCTTAGGTTTAAGTTTTGTAAACCTCATAACAGAAGAATAGAATATAAAACAACAATTACAAAATGTTGTTTTATTTTTATTATTTAATATTTTATTTATTTTTGTGTAATTTTATTCATTTTAGCTATTTTCTAACCAAAAATTATTAAACATCAACATTACAATGTATAAAATATCTGTCTATCTATTTAACATGTTTTCTCTCAACAGGACCACTCAGCAGTATTCTGGTGAATAAGTATGGTAGTCGGCCAATCATGATTGCTGGGGGCTGTCTGTCTAGCACAGGGTTAGTCGCCGCCTCCTTCTGTAGCACAGTGGAGGGTCTGTACTTCTGTGTGGGAGTTATAGGCGGTAAGTACACTGAATGACTGATCATAACTATTCAGAGACCAGAAGAATTCAGAGTGAGTACAATTAAATAATCAAAACTTCAGAAATCAGTTTTCTCTCATCTGTTTCTAGGCCTGGGTTTGGCTTTTAATCTGAATCCAGCATTGACCATGATTGGCAAATACTTCTACAAGCGCCGGCCAATAGCTAATGGCATCGCGATGGCGGGCAGCCCAGTGTTCTTGTCCACTCTTGCCCCGTTGAACAGCTGGCTGTATGATCAATTTGGATGGAGGGGCAGTTTCCTCATTCTGGGCGGAGCTTTGCTGAACTGCTGCGTTGCGGGGTCACTAATGCGGCCCATCGGACCAAAACCACAGCCTGCCAGTCCAAAAGAGGATGGCGAGCCCAAACGTCAAGAGAAAAAGACATGCATGCAGACCGTCAACAGCTTCCTGGATCTGACCCTGTTCACTCACCGAGGCTTCCTGCTGTACCTGCTCGGAAACGTCATCATGTTCTTCGGCCTCTTTGCGCCTCTTGTGTTCCTCAGTAATTATGCAAAAAGTAAAGAGATTTCCAAGGATAAGGCTGCGTTCTTGTTGTCCATCCTGGCCTTCACCGACATGATCGCTCGGCCATCCATGGGCCTGGTGGCCAACACTCGCTGGGTCCGTCCACGTATCCAGTACTTCTTCGCCGCATCTGTGCTATATAATGGTGTCTGCCACTTGTTGGCACCATTCTCCACCGATTACGTGGGTTTTGCCATTTATGCAGTGTTTTTCGGTGTGGCATTCGGCTGGCTGAGTTCTGTGCTGTTTGAGACTCTCATGGACCTGGTGGGCGCTCAGAGGTTCTCCAGTGCTGTGGGGTTGGTGACCATCGTGGAGTGTGGACCTGTGCTGCTGGGGCCTCCGATGCTGGGTAAGGCTGAGTGTCAATCCATTTCACTTAAAGGTGCACACAAACATGGCAATTTACACACCCTCATGTCATTCCAAACCAGTGACGGTTATTTCTTCTGTGAAATAAGATTTAAGAATGTTGGTAACCAAACAGTTGTGGTTACCACTGACCATTCTATGTTCCACAGGAAAAAGTAAGTCATTCATGTTTGGATTGACATGAGGGTAAATTAGATTTTTTGGGGTGAACCATCCGTTTAACATTCATTTTTATTAAATGTTGATACACCTTTAAATGATTATATAAAGTACATGAATATTCGGTTTATTATTTATGATTACTAAATTCATTCATTTTATTATTAACATTTTAGTTGAGCATGAGACTTTTAAGGATACATTTAATACTTTTTATAAAAATGTGTGTATATATACAATTAAATATTAAAATTAAATAATAATATAGCTTTAAAAGTAATCATTCGTTCATAGTACTTAATGTGTAAAATGCTTGAATATTTGGTTTAATTTTACATTTTCTCATCAACTAAAATATATATATATATTTTAAATTCATGATTATGACATGACAAAATATTGTCTCAATTTATAGGATATTTTGGCAAACATTTATGTATATTAAATTAAAGTTAATTACTATTATATTAATATTAATGTTAAATAATACAATAAATATTAATGAATTTGACATGACTGTATTGATAAAGTATATTTTAAACAAAAACATTAATAGAAATACATATTAAAATTAAAGGTAATAAATATCCAAAAAGGGATTATTATTACAATTAAATATGTAAATTGCTTGAATACAAAAACGAATGAATATGACATGACAAAATATTGACTAAATGTAAAGAATGCTTTTATCAAAAAAATAAATGCATAAGATTTAATATGAAAAATTCTATAAAATTTTATAATACAAATATTTAAAGTAATTTTAATACTAATTAATGTTATTATTTACATTATTATGTACATATTATGTTACTAAAATGAATAGGGCTTAATAAAATGATTAAATTTAACCTAAATTGCACTCAATTTAAGAGTTGTTTTTTACATATATAAGAGTTGTTTTTCAAATATATATATATATATATATATATATATATATAT